AATCCCTTTGATAGCACCTCCCAACCCAGTGTATCTTTGGAGGGGCAAAACCTATTGACACAGCTGCTAGAGAATGAGAAGTAGAAGAACAGTTACAGAAGGAACAGGAGAAACTGCAACGTCAGCTGGATGAGCCAAAACTAAAACAATGCCCTTGGGAAAGACACCCAAGCTGATGAAGTGAAGAAACTCAGGAACAGGAAAGGTCAAAGACAGGGCATGAGCCATCGCAGACTGGGACCTCAGCCACATCTGGCAGAAATACATGAAGGAGAGAGACTGAAAACTCTCTGGAAAATGAAACCTTCAGTAAGGAAGAAGATTGTCACTTTCCAACTTCGAAGACTCCCCAACCCGACCAGCCTCCAAGGGTAATGCCAGCCCCTCCACGAAAGGATAACACTTGGGTGAAGCGAAGTTCTCATCCTCCTGCGCCATCTCACAATCTTAGAAACTCCTACAGGTGTTGGGGGTAAGGTAGTGCCAACTCAAGCATCTAAAGAAAGACCATCAAGAAAAGATGAAAATAAAGTTGATGGGGTGAATGTCCCAAAAGGCCAAAATGGGAACTCTAACCATGGTCCAGAAGATGGCAGGAACAAAGACCACTGTAAGGAGTCCGATAGGAAAGATGGCAAAAAGGATCAAGACTCCAGATCTGTACCTGAGCCAAAGAAATCTGAAGAAAATCCAGCCTCCAACTTCAGCTCTTCAAGTAGGTATGATGCTCTCTCAGTTGATGGTGAGGATGAAAATGAGGGAGATTACAATGAATAGACCTCTACATTGCTGTGCCTTCTCCTAGTCTCTCTCCACCTTGGAACTGTCAAGAGCAAATCAAACCTCTATCCAGATGCAACAGAAGAAAACTCACCAGTAGTTTTTAACGGAAAAGTTGTACGTTTTATGATACCTGTGTGATTAGTGCTTAGCAGCCTCTGTTTAGCAGAAATGTTAATGACACTAATCCTAGGATGGACACCTGGTGTGGTGCTATAGGATCAGCACTGGACTGTGAACCTCAAGGTTGACAGTTCAAACCCTATACAGGGTCGCTATGAGTCGGAGCCTACTCGAAGGCACTAAACAACAACAACCATGCCTAGGATATCAATGTTTATGCTTTCCATTTCATTTTCGACAATTTCCAATTTTCCTAGATTCATACTTCGTACATTCCATGTTATGATTATTAATGGATGTTTACAGCTGTTTCTCTTCATTTTGAGTTGTGCCCCATCAGCAAATGAAGATCCTGAGGGATTTACGCTATTTGTGTTAACACAGCCAGCTCTACTTTGAGGAGGCAGTTCTTCCTCAGTCATATTTTGAGTGCCTTCCAAAATGAGGGGCTCATCTTCTGGTACTGTAACTGGAAATATCCTGGTGCTCTTCATCATGTTTCAGTATTCTGGTGCTGGCAGTATTCAACTGCTATTCATAAGTTTTTCAGTGATTAAATATTCAGAAATAGTCTGTCCTTTCTAGTCTGTCTTTGTCTGGAAGCTCATCTGAAGTCTGTCCACTATGGGTGGCCTTGCTGGTATTTAAAATATCCATGTCATAACTTCTATAATC